TTTTGAATTTTCTTCCTACATCCCTATCTCGTTTTGTTTGTTTTAAAATAACAAATATAAATATTTACGTTGTATTGATTGACTGGCAAGTTTAACTCAAAGTTGACAAGCAATATTTGTGAACCTTCGAACAATAAATTGTTAAGACCATACATTTTGATTCGTTTCTTTCAGTTTTTCTAACGAAAACATCAATAAAGGCTTTATTATTTCTTTCACGGCTTTTATCACGGCTCTGTATTGCTGTAATTATAAATAAATTTTTTTAATAAAACTTACTCGTTAATTGAACTCGTGCTTTGAATAGAAAATATTTCATCAAGTCTATAAATACTCTAAATTCTTGCGTGAAGTCGGCTAATGATTTGACAATTCATAAAATAAAATATTTTCAAATAGTTTAATTTATCAAATAGTTTTAATACTGAAGTGTTCTAATATAATGTTACAAAATTGACTTAAAATTTTTTTTTGACTTTTTAATTCTTTCAATAGCATTCTAATAGTCTCCGCGATGCCCTTGTTAGCGCGAGGCCCGATGCAATAGCTTCTTTCGCACCATCTCTTACCCGGCCCTGGTTAGCCATATTTTTAATTTCTTATTGTTTAGCCAGTTTTTTAAAAACTTTGAAGGTTTACGTTTTGGCTTTTAAGAGTTGCTGCCTTTTAGAGAATCCAAATTTGAAAAATTATAAGAAAAGCTAATTGAACTAACTAGAATAGACTTATCAAGTTATTTATCATATTTCCAATTTAAAAATCAAGCACAGACAAAAACTATTTTCCTTTTGAATCTACAAATTGTAACTACTATGCATGATTAATCAAAAAGGAAAAATTGATAATTTTGTATCTTACTTTTTTTTTTTTTTTTTTTTGATGCCGGTTCTTCAAAGTTTTCACATATATCATCAGCCATATTGAAATCAGAATTAAACTGTGTCATTGATTATGTTGTCATCTAGTCGTTGCATTATTGTGTTCATATCGTGTTAACTTATGTTTAAGAATTTGAATTGATCTATTTATACCACAAAATATTATGGATACAGATTTTATATCTCTTGACAATAATTACAATGATCATTAAAACGTACACGAAGTTTTTTATATAAAAAGTCTCTCTCTTGATAATTTTTTAATAATTGCTATTGTCATTAAAACGTACACAAAGTTTTTTTTTAAAAAGTTTCTCTCTTGATAATTCTTAATAAATACTTTTGTCATTAAAACCTACACAAAAAATACAATGCAATTACTAATTATAAATTATCGACGTGACAACTAGCGTGTACAATTTTATTTGATTAAATTTATGATATTAAAATAGATTTATTCAGTTAATTTCTAAATTCGTGTAAATTATTTCTATTCCAAGTAAAAATAGAAAAATCATACATAAATTATGAAGTCTTACATAAAAACAAAAATCATAATTCTCAAAAAAAAAAAGGTCGAAAGTCTTACAAAACGTGGAAAATATTACAAATCATGCAAAGTGGAAATACTGATAAGCAATCAAAGAAGTAGCAATATTGTAAAAAGCTGTTCAAGCTAAGAGTCTTCTACCAGCAATCGAAAAAGAGTTGCTGGTGTCAGTGGCAGATTACAACTTCTTGGGGCCCGGGGCTATCTTGCTTTTGGAGGCCTTTTTATGGGCCAGAGCCTAAAAATCATTAAAAAAAAAATAAAATAAAATAAATAAAGGTCCTCTAAACTTTTTACGGGCCCCTAAAGTTGCGGGGCCCGGGGCTATAGTTCCCCCTAGCCCCCCAGATTTGGCACTGGCTGGTGTCAGTTCCAAAGTTATAACACTTTCTTGACGAATTATCCAAAACTTGAGCTTTTAAAAGAAATACTTAGGCTGAGAAGACACATGAAAGTAGCAAATATTTATCCCCACAAAACTGAAGACTGGTCACTTCGGCTAGCAGTCTAGCGAGAGTCAGTGCGCTTTGATAAGAAATACAAGTTTGTGTCTGCTCCTTTACTCAGACACAAGTCCCACTGTCACACCAAAAACATCATTGAGGAAAATACTGTAGTTTCTCCACAGCCGCTCAAGGTTATGTCAGTATTTGCCAATTACTATTTGTTTTTAACTAGTAATTATTTTTACTATGTTTAAGATAAAAATTTTTTAACGGTATTATTCTTTCTATAGAGATTTGTCAATTTATTGATCTATTTTTTGCGCGAAAAATCTACAAGCTAACCGGGGATATAATCAGCTATGAAAAAGAATCGAAATTAAAAAGCATATGATGAAATCATTTTCAAAGTTTTTAAAGCTTTTTAAAAAGTACATTAGCATATTGGTTGCAGCAATATGGTTGCAGATATACAAGGTGTCAAAGTGTCAAGAGTGAATGTTACCGCTGCCACTACCTGCCAAAACGTTGTGAGAACAAACTTATTTAGATGTGGTCCCAGTGGGCGTTTGGACAACAAATGTTGGCGTTTGGACAACAAATGACAAGTTTTGGACAACAAATGTATAACCAACGTTATTACAACGTTGTAATAACGTTGGTTACACATTTGTTATCGGAGTTACAACGATTTAATAGCTTTACTTACATTATTTTTCAATGAATATTCCACTATTTTTTTCGTCTATAATTCAGCTAGGTAAATATTTATGTGGTTAAAAAATATATATTTCTTCTTGAAGTATCAAATTTTTGAAAAATAAATATAATATTAAATTATAATTAATGGTTTTACTCTCCATTAAAACAAAGCATTGTTCTTTAAACCCAACGGACATTTGTTTTTAAAAGTTACGTTCTAAATGTCTTTAAACGTTTTTTAAACGTTTTTTACGTAAGAATGTTTAAAAGACGTTTAAAAGACATTTAAAATACATTTAGAACGTAACTTTTAAAAACAAATGTCCGTTGGGAAACGTCAAAGAATTTTTGAATTGTGCTTTGTTAAAAGAGTTTTTTAAAGAAGATTTAGTGCGCTTGGCATTGTAATATTTCCCTTTATATTTTCGACCACGCGATAAGGTATGTTTAAATCTTTATTATAATCTGATGTTATCTGCTTGATCAGTTATAAGATCTAAAACTTTATATTATATAACAATTTGGTCAAATAAAAATACTGTAGTAATAGATAAACTTTATGTTATTTTTAAATTAGTAAAGGAACTTTTAAAATCAGCTTTTTATCTAATTCATGTATTTCAATAACTAAACAGTTCAAGTCCTTTGTCAATTGTATTTGAAGTATATTACTCGAAGACGATGCTCAAAGGTCGAACTTTCGATAAATGTCATACTTTTGAACAAGGTCCAACTTTTGATAAAGTGGTTATTATTCTCAAAAACCTTGCTTCTCACACGGTCAACTCTATGTTGCATGTTCAAAAACAAGATTGTTTAATAGCTTATTTTTTAAAATTGATAAACATTCATCACAAGGCGATGAATGTCACGCTACACAAAAAATGTTGTATTTATAAATGTACTTATCTCTAAACAAATGTTTTACTATTAGGCACCACGTTTTTTATAAATCACTAAACAAAACAAATTTTGTTACTGGAAACCAGTTGATGCTACTAAAAACTCAGTTGTTGTTACTAAAAACCCAGTTGTTAAAGATTTTCTGATAGATTTTAAATAACTTTGAAAAAATGAACTACGAATAAAAATTATATGTTTACAAGAAATATGTTTGGTTTTATAATATAACAAACCAGGTCGTTTGATCGTTTGTTTTTTAAAGTTGATAAAAATGCATTGTTAGATATATCATGGAACAAATATTGCACAAATAACCCAGCTAACACTAAACGTTCAACAAACGTTGCAAACGTTCAAGAACATTCTATGAACGTTCATAGAATGTGCTCGAACGTTTGCAACGTTCGTTGAACGTTATTGAGCCTTAAATGTGAAAATATCTTTTATATATAAAGTATTTCAATGTATATTATGTGTTATAATGTTACGTGTCTTTTTTTTTAAGTGGTTATGTTGTTTCCATAGTTTTAGAGTGTTGTGACTTCGAATAGTTTACAGCAAAAGTATTGTCCTTTCTAGCCAAGTGGAGTACTTTGCTAAAATGTGATTTGGCTTTTTTGAGAGCAAGAATGTTGTCTTTGCCAGCCAAGTGGTGTATTGTCATGATGAAACACATAATAAAATCTGTTTGCAGATAGTGTAATCATAAAATGTGTAACTTTTAATTAAATAACATATTTTTATAAATATTTCTTATAACCAATGCAGTTGTTGCAATAGCTACAACTCAACAAGTGCTGCCCCAACAGTAATGGGAACGACATCTGCTAATGGTGAATAAGTAACTTGTAGTTTTTAACGATTATTTTAAAAATAAAACTTTTAAATTTTATTAGTAGTAGAAGAAGGAGAGTTCTGGGCCATTTTCATTTTTAACCCTATTTTCAACCATAAATTAATATTAATATAGGGTTCAATGTTAACCATGTTGTGTATAAATTATTTCAACAAGAAATAATTTTTTATTTTAAAAAATTGATTTTTTAAAATAAGTGTTAATTTTTATTTCTTGTTATGAAATATTACGAAAATTTCTTGCATGACGTCATAGGTCACGTGACTTTTTCTTAATAATAAATATTATCTGGTGTTTTTAACTTTTCTTCTTCTAATCTTTCCTTTTCTAACTTTTCATATTGTAATTTAAATTTATTTTGTAAATAACGAGCTAAACTTAATCTTCTTTTATAACTTCCTAATTTAATATCTTTACTTGTACAATCCATTTTTTTAATTTATGTAAAGAAATATATTTTCAATTTTTTTTCTTGCTTCTTATTTATACCCTAATTCATGTAAATATTTTACAACTTCAAAGTGTCCATTTTCTGCAGCGCAATTAATTGCATTTTCTGTTCCTCTATATCCTATAGAATGTAAATATTTTACTACTTCAAGGTGACCATTTTCTGCAGCACAATTAATTACATTTATTAAACCTCTATATCCTAATGAATGTAAATATTATATTACTTCAAGATGATCATTAAATACAGCAAAATTAACTGCCCATTCTGTTCCTCTATATCCAATAGAATGAAAATATTTAATTACTTCAAGATGATCATTTAAAGCAGCATTATCAATTGCATTTTCTGTTCCTCTATATCCTATAGAATGTAAATATTTAATTACTTCAAGATGTCCATTTAAAGCAGCATTATCAATTGCATTTTCTGTACCTTTATACCCTAATTCATGTAAATATTTAATTACTTCAAGATGACCTTCTTTTGCAGCATAAACAATTGCATCTTCTGTTCCTCTATATCCTAATGAATCTAAATATTTTAGTACTTCGAGATGTCCCTCTTTTGCAGCAAAATTAACTGCTTTTTCTCTTCCTTTTTCTCCAAATCGAATTAATAATTGAATTAAATAAAGTTTATCTATTTTTGCAGCGAAATCAACCTTATTACCTTTTTTATACCCATATTTTTTTAATATTGTAGTAATATAATATACCTGAGTTGAAGGTTTTATTAAAAAATTATTATTCTCAATATTATTTTCTAATTCCATTCTTTTTTATATACACAAGAAAAATTATTTAACTCATTTTCAATTTTTTTATTTTTTTAATGCGCATGCGCTAGGATTTACTTAAGCATAGTAGCGCTTATGTGTAGTAGTGAAACATTGCTTAACTTTATCACTACTAGAATTTATATTCACTACGTGTATCAAAAGTTTAAATATATCCATTTTTAACAGCTGAATTAAAAAACGATTCTGTACCTTTATACCCTAATTCATGTAAATATTTAATAATTTCAAGGTTACTATCTGATGGTGATCTTATCTGTTTATTTACTGCACAATTAAATGCAGATTCATCACCTTTATATCCAAATTCATGTAAATATTTAATAAGTTCAAGATTTCCACTTTCAACAGCAGCAAAAATTGCATTTTCTTTACCTTTATATCCTAATTCATGTAAATATTTAATTACTTCAAGGTGACCATTTTCAGCAACACAATAAATTGTCCATGTTGTACATTTATACCCTAATTCATGTAAATATTTAAAAATTTCAATATTTCCATGTTCAACAGCATTATCTATTGCAAATTCTGTACCTTCATACCCTAATTCATGTAAATATTTAATAAGTTCAAGATTTCCACTTTTAACAGCTAAATCAAATGTAAAATATGTACCTTCATACCCTAATTCATGTAAATAATATGTACCTTCATACCCTAATTCATGTAAATATTTAATAAGTTCAAGATTTCCATTTTTAGCAGCATTTTCAAAAGCATAACTAATTGCTAATTTATCACCTTTATACCCCAATTCATGTAAATATTTAATAAGTTCAAGATTTCCACTTTTAATAGCTAAATTAATATTAAAATATGTACCTTTATACCCTAATTCATGTAAATATTTAATAAGTTCAAGATTTCCATTTTTAACAGCATTTTCAAAAGCATCTTCTGTACTTTTATACCCTAATTCATGTAAATATTTTAATATTTTAATGTAACTATTTTCATCTTCTTCATCTTCATCATCTTCATTTTCATCTTCTTCATCTTCTTCATCTTCATCATCTTCTTCAGTCATTTCAATATCATTATCATATTCAGTAATTTCTGTAATTTCAGTAACTTCAGTAGTAGTAACTGTAGTAACTTCTTCATCTTCAGTCATTTCAATATCATGAATATCAATAATATTTAATTTTTCTTCTATTAATCTTAATCTTTGTTCTATTGATTTTAAAAATGAATTTTGCATTTCGTTTTCCATTCTTTTTATATATAAAAGAAAATTATTTAATTCATTTTCAATTTTTATATTTAAAATATTTTTACAATTAATAAAAAATAAAAAATGAATGATGATGAGATTAATGAAATATCTGAATTTCAAAAAGAATTTAAACTTTTTGAAGAAATATTAAAATTTGAATTTGAAGAATCAGATTCTGAAGATGACACTTATTATACATCTGATGATGAAGATGAAGTTAAAGAAAAACCTATAGTTCCAATTCCTTTAAAAACAGTTCAAATCATGGAACTGCATAAAGATAAGCTGAAATGGATTAATTATATTCCAACTTATAATGTTATTAATGATGATTATCCTGCTATAGATAATACTTCTTTTAAAAAACATTATAAAAAAAGAAAATTTAGTTTTGAAAAACCATTTAATGTAGATATTAATTTTACTGAAGACGGAAAACCTTCAACAATTCATTTTGTAGAGAAACTACCCATTTTCTGTAAAAATATTTTAAATGATAATTATTGTCCTTTTGGAAGAAAATGTAAATACAATCATGATATTCCTTATTGTAATACTGTAAAGGAAAGACTAATATGCACTAAATCTTCATGTCAATATAGACATATTCATATTTGCTATGATTATCCTAAATGTAGGAATAAAGAGTGTGTATTATTTCATCCTAAAAAGTCAGAATTATTAAAATTAATAAAAGCTAAAACTAAATTATGTAAATATATTCTTGATAAAAAAGAATGTAAAAATATAAATTGCAAATATGCTCATTCTATAAAAGAAATTGAAGAAAATGTAGAAATTTGTCATTATACTCCATGTAAATTAGTAGAGAGTAAATTAAAGAAAAATAAAAAAGGAGAAAAAATATTAATATATAAAAATGTTAATGATAATAAAAAGTGTAATTTTTTACATCAAGGTGAAAGCATTTTAAATTATATTGCTAGAACTTTAAAAACAAAATAGATATGAGGATTAAAGAGTGATTTAAAAAAATCTTTACATTTATAAAATGTATAATAGTAGAATGTTTTTATATTATGAAAAGCATGAACAATATAGAATAACTTTAATATTAATTCAGATTTAGAACATAGAGCAATAAATGATAGACATATTAAAGTATTCGCACAAGAAGATTTTACAGTAAAATCAAATTCATATGAAAACATTTCTTTAATGTGTGGAGTTGAAATAGATAAAGGACATGTAATGATTTCACTTGCAGAAAATTATAAACCATCACTAAATTTACTAAATTCTGTTGTAATAGAGTCTACTGATGATATTAAAATAACTTTATATAATTACGATAAAAAAGATATAAACATTAAAAAAGGAGATTTGTTATGTTGTATATCAACTTATAATGGTGTTTTAAATGCAAATTATATATCACATAGAGATGCTTTAGAACCTGTTAAAGAAGAACAATTTAGACCACAAAATGACTCAGGAACTAAACAGAAAAGTGATAAAGAATCTGTAAAATCTTTATTATCAAGTATAGGAGAAGTAATTAAAGAAACTATATATGATGAAGATAAACCTGATAAAGCTATATTTGATTTTGGTAAAAAGTGATTTAGCGAAGCATTGATCGCAAAAGTGATTTAAAACAAATTTTTCTTTATAGAAAAAAGAAATGCTATGTAATAATGGATATAATAATGAATGTAAGCAGCTTTATCCAGATCTTAACCAGTTTTCAGAAAATCCATCTGCACCACCACAATCTATAGATCAGAGATATCGATTAGATAAGATAAGTGAAATTCAAAATAAAATGGAATGTGAAAGAAATAGAAGAGCTATGCTAAGTAAAAAATATCACAGAGCTGTAAGAATAATTTCAGCTATCGATAATTCATTACTTGCAACTACTATGACACTTGGAGCTGTTGGTATTGGTTTTTTAACAACAATAGTTGGGGCGCCAGTAGCTATTGCATGTGAAGGTGCAGCATTAGGTATGGGTGTATTATCATTAATAGGATCACAAGCTATTAAAAAATTAGCAATAAAAGCAGAAAAGCATGAAAAGATTAAAGTACTAGCTGATGCAAAACTAAATACAATAAGTAGTCTTATTTCTAAAGCTATATCAGATCAATATATTGATGATGTAGAATTTAATATGATACTTTCAGAACTTGAAAAGTTTCAAGCTATGACTGAACAAATTAGAACAAAATCTAAAAATAATATAGATGAACAGACTAAAGAGTCATTAATTAATCAAGGTAAAGAGAAAGCAATGAAAGAAGCTATGGAATTGCTAAATATGAGATTTAACAAAAATCAGAATATAGGAGTGATGAATAATACTCTTAAGAATTAAATAAAAAAACATATATTTTGTATTACTTGAACATATATTATGTATTAAAAACATAATACATGTTGATTTTAATCCCTTTAGGGATCTGATAATCACATTGTGATTTAAAAAAATTATTGCATATATAAAAATGTATGCAAAAGCTACAGATATTGATGCAAGATTAAAAATAGCAAAAGAACTTGATGGGTTAAAGAAAAGTGTTTATCAAGATTCTATTAATGAAAAGTTAGGCTATGATGCTTTACAGACTAACTTGGAAAAAATGTACAAACCAATAATAGATAGTCAATCTGGAATAAAAGAAGGTATATCTAAATTAGAAAATAAAGCTAATCAAATAGCAAATACTTTTTCAAATTATCCTGCTTTACTAGATTCTGAAACTAAAGCAATCACAGAGCAAGGAAAAATTATACCACCTGAAGTTGTAGATAACATGAGATTAGGAGCTATAGCAACAGAATATTTAAAGTTATATACTACTAAAAATAGTAAAAAAGTATCAGACGATATATTTGGTATACATTACAATGAAAGTGATAAAAAATTTTACATTGGTAAAAAACCAATAACTATTGAAGGTAATGATATAACTATTGAAGGTAAAAAATACATTGGCACACCAGGCCTTTGGGAGATTATAGTAAAATCCCATCCTGTTAGATATACTAACGATGATCGTAATAAGTATAAAGAAATTTTAGATCAAACAGATGCAATTCGTTCTAATTTAAATTTAGCTAAACCAAAATCATCTAGAAGTTATAAGTACACTAATGTAATAAAACCTATTTGGGAAAAGATGATTGGAAAGTCTGGAAAAGGAGTTGTCATTCTTCCTAGTGATCCAAATGCACTATTTGATATGCTTAAATTACGCTTAGCTGGTTTACAAGCAGGAAATACTGGAACAAGAAATGAGATTGTTGCTATTTGTGATGAGTTGTTACGACAGGGGCAAATAGATGATGATGAGTATAAAGCATTACAGAAAGCGATTTAAAAAAAAATATTTTATATATAAAAAATGACAATATACTATGATACTCTTATCAATCTTTCAGATACTCAGAAAGAAAAAATTAAAAAAGCAATTGAATCTGATACTAATGCTAGTATAAAACTATCATATGAAGATTTAAATGGTGAACACAAAATAGCTTTAACAGAGTCACAAAGAAACAGAATGAAAGCAGCCTATTTAAAAAATAAGGGTATAACACTTTCACTGAGTAGAGCACAACTTAAACATAATGCTAAAAAAAATGGTGGATTTCTACCTTTAATAGGATTAGCTGGATTAATTGGAAGTGTAATTGCAAAAGCTGCTCCGGTTATAGCAACAGCAGCATTAACAGGAGTAGGTGCAGCTGCTGGACATGCTATAGTTAATAAAATTGCTGGAAATGGTATTATTTATGGAAAAAAGAATGGTTATGGATATAAAATTAGAAAAGTAGGAAAAGGAGTATTTTTAAACCCATGGAATGGTAGTTATAATTATTTAGACGGATATTATTCTAAAAATGGAAATGATTATTCATCAGTAGGTAAAGGATTGTTATTAGGAGAAAATTCTCCATTTAAGAATATACCCTTATTAGGTCTTCTTCTTTAGATCACTTCGTGATCCAGGCTTCGCTAAGTTCTGAAAGAACCAATGCTTCATAAAAATATATATTTTTAAAAAATATATATTTATCGATTCCACAAAGAAGTTGGATAATAAAATAAATCTAATCCACTTCTATACTTTCCATTTAATAGATCAGAAGACAAATCTATAACAACAAATCCATGCTTTTTTGACCAAGCTTCATTACAAAACTTTTTAAACTCATCTAATTTCATATCATTTGAAACATGGTCATTATAAATATGATTTACATTTTTAGAATCTTGTTTAAACAAGCAAATAAAATTTGCATTTTCTCTTATCGTTCTCCTAGGCAACTCAAAATAATTTTGTGCCAAGTAGAAACAATCTACATTGCTATGTCTTCCTCTTATATAGTACTTTTCACACTTGTTTTGTTTTGTTAATTGTAAATCATCAAATATCATTAAATTATTTCTAATACTGTTAAGATTTTCAGGTTCTGGCACATCCTCTGCTGTTTCAAAAAATTTACACTCTATATCTGTTTTATCTTTTAAATTTCTTGAAATGTCTTTAATAACAAACTCTGGATTTACATTGTTTTTATTTATTTGATCTTGCAACTCAAATAGTTTAAGAATAACTTCTTTTGGTAATTTATTTTCAAAAGAATTTTTTAATATTTTGTATTCAGGTTGAAAAAGAGATTTTCCAAAAACTTGTAAATTATTATAGTCTAACCAACCAGGTCTTAATAGCAAGTTTAATAATAATGTTGTTTTTCCACAACCTGATTTTCCAACAATAATCCCTCTTATACTTTTAGGTAATAACTCATTATTTTGACGTTTACTTTTATTTACATTCCATGATAAATCTATAATTTCCATTTTTTTATTTACGAAAAGTATTTTTTAAATTAAATAAATTAAAATACATATATAAAAAATGTATTGCGTTAAATGTAAAAACAAAACAGATACACTCAACTTACAACATGCTGTGAGTAAAAACAAAAGAAATATGCAATGTGGAAATTGTAAAATCTGTGGAACAAGAAAATACAAATTTACAAAAGGAACTGAAAGTCTTAAAAAAGGAGGTGATTTGGTAGAATCTATTAATAAATTCACAAGTAATAGAAAATTACCTTTGCAAAAGTTTCCAGGTGAAATGCACATACCTGGTATGAACTTTGCAGGACCTGGTACTAATTTAGATGAAAGATTAACTTCTACTGAGATGCCTAAAGAATGGAGCATGCCTGTAGATCGAGTTGATAAAACAGCTTATATTCATGATCTTGCTTATAAGCATTATCCAGATAAAGAGCATAGAAATTTAGCTGATAAAATGATGCTTGAACAAATGGATGCTATACCTAATCCTACACCTCGTGAAAAATTGGAAAGAAAGATTATAAAACCTATCATATCTGCTAAAGTAAGGTTTGGTATGGGAAATAAAGAGTCAATGAGTATTAAAGAATTATGTCAAAAAAACTACCAGCGCAGAGGAAAAAAAGCAAA